GTGCTATGAATAAATACATTTTGAAGTAAGGCTAGTTCGAATGCACTTAAACTTTCCAGGTGTGACAGGGCATGATAAATCCTATTTGGGAGACAAAGGCGGGAGGATCTCAAATTCCAAGCTGCATATAGAACCTGAGGCCAGCCTGGGCTACATGAGACCCCTTGTCGAAGAAAACCAAGCTATATATTTAGTTTTTAGGGGTAGTGGGGTAGAGGACAGGGTCTCATTGTGTAGTCCTGCCTTACTTGGAACTGTAAACCTGGCTGGCTTCAAAGAGATACAACAGCCTCTGCCTCCTGAGTAATGGAATTTACCAAGAGCTTCACCGTGAATGGCTGTCTATGGTCTTACCTTTGCAGTTCTGTTAGATAATTTAACAGTTTCAGAGCAAGATTGTTGAATCCCACCAGCCATTGAGGCTAAATCTTCGGGATGGACATGGTGAAGGGCAGCCTTGGTGGTAAAATAGGGACTCAAGAGTAGTGTAAACAGAGGCCCGGGAGATGGCTCCGAGGTTAAGAACACTGGCTGCTCTTCCAGAGGTCCAGAGTTTAATTCTCAACTAGTATCATGGGGGCATATGATGCTCTTCTTTAGTAAGAGACATGTAAACGAGATTAGGAACTTTAGGATGAGCAAATACTTAGTATAAATATTGTGGGGCAGTGGTGGCGCATACCTTTAATCCCCTCACTTGGGAGGCAGAGATAGTCAAATCTCTGAGTTCAAGGTCTACAGAGTGAGCTCCAGGACAGGACAGGCTCCAAAACTACAGAGGAAACCCTATCTCAAAAAACCAAGATAAATAAATATGCCTTTGTATGGCTGTTAGGGGTTCAGTTCATCAGAGCCTGGACCTTCCCTCTGCCATATAGGCCTTAAAATTCCATCTTGGAGTGCTTTCGCACCCTAACACCTTGTTCTCCTCCCACTCTCCTGCCAACTCCACACATCCTCTTTCAGACCTGAACCCCTCCAGCCCCCGCCCCCCGCCGCCGCCAAGCAGGTCTTTGGCAGAAATCACTGGTGTGTGTGGATGAGGGGTTTATGTGTGTTCCAGCCCACCTATGGAAGTCAGAGGACAACTTGCAGTTTTTCTCTTTGTGGGGGTTAAACACATTAGTGATTAACTCCAAGATACCAATAATGTATTTGTTTTGCATTAAGAGATCAAAGCGCTTCCCGCTTGGGGTCATCTAACCAAGAGTAAGTCCAGATTTGAATTCTCTACTTCCATGTTTCCTGTGTCTTTCATCCTGTCTGCCTGTTGAGTGAGTCTGAATCTGTGCCTGCCTGAAGGCTGTTTTGTCACTCTGACTCTTGGCTTTGCTGTCTTTACTGGACAGCTTGAAAAGTGTCACATGGGGAAGGACTGTGGGGTACTTACCAGAAACCTTTAACAGAGTTTAACAAGATGTCATTGACTGCAAAGACCCCAGCCGACCCAGAAAACATTACGATAAACATCACAGTTTTACCATCCAATGTCCAAATGTGTTACATTTATGATGGACATTCATTTTAGAAGATTGCTTTCAGCCTCCATTTTTGCTGCTTTCAGCAACTGAAACACATGCACTATGGATGGTGACTGGGAAGAGCACCCAATTTGAGCTTCCAGCTGTATATTGGCTTAGGACGTAAAAGCCGATCATGGGAAAAACCTAAGACAAGTAAAGTTGGGTGTTACATTCTCATAAAGGCACGTTAAGGAATCTGAGTAGGGGCTGGAGAGATGACTCAGCGGTTAAGAGCATTGCCTGCTCTTCCAAAGGTCCTGAGTTCAATTCCCAGCAACCACATGGTGGCTCACAACCATCTGTAATGAGATCTGGTGCCCTCTTCTGGCCTGCAGACATACAGACAGAATATTGCATACAATAAATAAATAAATAAATATTTTTTTTTAAAAGAAAATATCTCTTACATTCTAAGAGACTGGAATATGGCTGGACCTCACAGCCAGAGTTAATAATACACCTTGAGGTCTCTTAAGACTGATAAGCTACTCAGACTCCTTTTTTTTTTTATTTATTATGTATACAATATTCTGTCTGTGTGTATGCCTGAAGGCCAGAAGAGGGCGCCAGACTTCTTTACAGATGGTTGTGAGCCACCATGTGGTTGCTGGGAATTGAACTCAGGACCTTTGGAAGAGCAGGCAATGCTCTTAACCACTGAGCCATCTCTCCAGCCCCTACTCAGATTCCTTAACGTGCCTTTATGAGAATGTAACACCCAACTTTACTTGTCTTAGGTTTTTCCCATGATCGGCTTTTACGTCCTAAGCCAATATACAGCTGGAAGCTCAAATTGGGTGCTCTTCCCAGTCACCATCCATAGTGCATGTGTTTCAGTTGCTGAAAGCAGCAAAAATGGAGGCTGAAAGCAATCTTCTAAAATGAATGTCCATCATAAATGTAACACATTTGGACATTGGATGGTAAAACTGTGATGTTTATCGTAATGTTTTCTGGGTCGGCTGGGGTCTTTGCAGTCAATGACATCTTGTTAAACTCTGTTAAAGGTTTCTGGTAAGTACCCCACAGTCCTTCCCCATGTGACACTTTTCAAGCTGTCCAGTAAAGACAGCAAAGCCAAGAGTCAGAGTGACAAAACAGCCTTCAGGCAGGCACAGATTCAGACTCACTCAACAGGCAGACAGGATGAAAGACACAGGAAACATGGAAGTAGAGAATTCAAATCTGGACTTACTCTTGGTTAGATGACCCCAAGCGGGAAGCGCTTTGATCTCTTAATGCAAAACAAATACATTATTGGTATCTTGGAGTTAATCACTAATGTGTTTAACCCCCACAAAGAGAAAAACTGCAAGTTGTCCTCTGACTTCCATAGGTGGGCTGGAACACACATAAACCCCTCATCCACACACACCAGTGATTTCTGCCAAAGACCTGCTTGGCGGCGGCGGGGGGCGGGGGCTGGAGGGGTTCAGGTCTGAAAGAGGATGTGTGGAGTTGGCAGGAGAGTGGGAGGAGAACAAGGTGTTAGGGTGCGAAAGCACTCCAAGATGGAATTTTAAGGCCTATATGGCAGAGGGAAGGTCCAGGCTCTGATGAACTGAACCCCTAACAGCCATACAAAGGCATATTTATTTATCTTGGTTTTTTGAGATAGGGTTTCCTCTGTAGTTTTGGAGCCTGTCCTGTCCTGGAGCTCACTCTGTAGACCTTGAACTCAGAGATTTGACTATCTCTGCCTCCCAAGTGAGGGGATTAAAGGTATGCGCCACCACTGCCCCACAATATTTATACTAAGTATTTGCTCATCCTAAAGTTCCTAATCTCGTTTACATGTCTCTTACTAAAGAAGAGCATCATATGCCCCCATGATACTAGTTGAGAATTAAACTCTGGACCTCTGGAAGAGCAGCCAGTGTTCTTAACCTCGGAGCCATCTCCCGGGCCTCTGTTTACACTACTCTTGAGTCCCTATTTTACCACCAAGGCTGCCCTTCACCATGTCCATCCCGAAGATTTAGCCTCAATGGCTGGTGGGATTCAACAATCTTGCTCTGAAACTGTTAAATTATCTAACAGAACTGCAAAGGTAAGACCATAGACAGCCATTCACGGTGAAGCTCTTGGTAAATTCCATTACTCAGGAGGCAGAGGCTGTTGTATCTCTTTGAAGCCAGCCAGGTTTACAGTTCCAAGTAAGGCAGGACTACACAATGAGACCCTGTCCTCTACCCCACTACCCCTAAAAACTAAATATATAGCTTGGTTTTCTTCGACAAGGGGTCTCATGTAGCCCAGGCTGGCCTCAGGTTCTATATGCAGCTTGGAATTTGAGATCCTCCCGCCTTTGTCTCCCAAATAGGATTTATCATGCCCTGTCACACCTGGAAAGTTTAAGTGCATTCGAACTAGCCTTACTTCAAAATGTATTTATTCATAGCACTGATATCTTTTTATTTGGGAGTTGGATCTTTGTTTTTGTTTTTCTGTTTCTTGAGAAGGAATCTCACTACATAGCCCAGGCTGGCCTGGAAGTCAAGGCAGTTCTCCTGCCTCAGGATCCTCAGTGCTGTGATTGCAGTGTACGCTGCCAACTGCACCGAGGACCTCTTTATTGAACACTGCTAACATCTCAATGAGGACGTTTTTAGAAAATACTGTTCTAGCAGCGTCCCTGTGTTCTTCTCTCCTGACTTGTTACTCATTAAAGCTTTTCTTGAAGATTATTGGTGCTCAGTCCTGTCGTCCTGGACTTAGAAGGCTGAGACTGGCTGAGTTGTCTGGGTATAGAAGACCTTACCTCAAAAAAAAAAAAAAGTCAACCAAAAAATTTATTTTCCAAAAAGAGGATGATGAAACTTGTTCTTATTTTATACACACATGCACACACACACACACACACACATATATGACATTTTAAATTCACTTTTGTTATCCCTAGCTAATTTAGAGGAAATCGAAGAAGGAAATTCACTTGACTCATCAATCCAGCAAGTGGTGGGGAGTGGCGGCCAGAGGGTCATCACCATAGTGACTGATGGAGGCCCTCTGGGTAATATCCAAACCTCACTCCGTACTGGAGGCATTGGCCAGCCCTTTATTGTAACTATGCAAGATGGACAGAGAGGTAAGTTATATCTAGTAGACATTTGCTATTTAAAGATATTTTATTTATTCAGTTATTTTTGGTTTCTCTAGACAAGGTTTGTCTATGTAGCCTTGGCTGTCCTGGAACTCACTCTGTAGACCAGGCTGGCCTCGATCTCACAGAAATCCACCTGCCTCTGCCTCTGGTGGGATTACAGGTGCGGGCCACCACCTCTTGGCTTCAAGTATTTCTTTTTAAAAACTGGCTCACACCATTTTTATTCATATACTCAGTCTTTCTCCCTTAGTCCTATTCCATGCCTCTTTATGACTCCTTACTCCCTAATCTACTCGTGATTTGATGCTGATAGTGGTATGCCCAAATCCACAATCCCCGCGAGCCCACAAGGAAACCAAGAGTCCCGTATGTAAGAGCCTTTATTTTAATCAAGTCTGCAAACTCGGTCTCTCTGCATGTCCAACATATTGGAATAACCTACCTGAGAGCCCTGAGCTCAATTAGAATAGGGTTTTATAGTAGTAAAGGTGGGTCTGAGGGTTTTTTGAGGTTTTAAGACCCCTGATTGGCTGACATTTGTATAGGGTTTCCTAGTGACTGTGGGCTGGTAGATGTTTCTATCTGCAGTGGCTGGAACGCCAGGAATTTCCTGTGAATCGTCTGTTCTTGGGTGGGGGTCCCGTGATTTCATCTAGGCATCGTCTCAGGGTAAACAGTTGAGACTCCAGCCTCCACTGAATTTCATCGATGGCCAGAGTCCCATGTGATAAGGGTTGGAGGAAGAACTTCCTTTGGGTGACTTGCCCAGACTTAGATTATCATGGCTGGTCCTCACAATATCAAATCAAGTCGGAGGAATTTTGTTTTTGCCATCATTTCCCCAATCCTAAAACAGTTCTTTGCACAACGACATTAATGAATACTAAATATGAACTTGATGAAACAGTTCCTTGCCGCAAAAAAACCTCTCTTCTAGGGCTGAAGAGATGGCTCAGAGTTTAAGAGCACTGCCTGCTTTTCCAAAGGTCCTGAGTTCAATTCCCAGCAACTACCTGGTGGCTCACAGCCATCTGTAATAGGGTCTGGTGCCCTCTTCTGGCCTGCAGGCATACAGACAGAATATTATATACATAATAAATATTAAAATAATAAACAATAAACAAAAAAACCCTCTCTTCTATTGAGACATAATTAAAATGAAATTGGTCTATTTAGTAGGAATACACGAACCCCTAAATCTTCCCAAAAGATTAACATAGGCAGATGAGATGTAATGGCTAATGAGACTAGGCTAATAAACGCAATATTTAAGACTTGTAAACTATAGTGTTTTACAGAATTGTGAGATTATTATAATCGACCAAAGAAGCCACATCTTGTCAATTACTCCTTCCTCGCCTAGAGAACTTTACAGAGAAATTTTTGTTTCATTTCCTTATTCCCTCTTTCTAGAGTGCTGACGGTCGACTGGCTGTGAATGATATCACCCAAGTCGGGTGTGTAACTCCGTTTAGTCCCGGAGTCTGCGTAGAGAACGGCTAGCGGGACAGGCGCATGCGCACCGCCTACCGCGCCGCACGATGGACGCCAGCCATTTTGTCACCCGTACACCCCCGATTTAGGGGTGCTAGCGGACGCAGCCGCGGCTTCCGGAAAACAGTGGCCACAAAACGGTGTAAATTTCCCAGTCTTCTGCGAGCTAAAGGCTCCAAGGGAGCCACCCCGCTAGGAAGCGGAAGGCAGTGCGGGAGCGCTACGCATCTCCAGCTTCCCCAGTCCCGCATCCCCTTTCCCCAGGTTTTCCTCCCAACCCGCTCGGCGCAGACCTAACGCGCAGGCGCACGAGGGAACGCCGCACCTCTTCAGCGCTCAGGGCTGGGCGACTCTTGCGCGCGCTTCCCCGACGCCTCCCGTGATTGGCCAGATCGCAGGGCCATCAGGGCCTCAAGGGCGAGGAGGAAGCGGAGAGGCGGGGTTAGCGCGCGCGTGCGCGTGCGCGTTGCTTTTGCTGGTCCTCTGCTGCTATTGCGTTGCAAAAAAAAAAAAAAATTTGTGACTCGGGCGCCGTGGGCCTTCTCTGGGGCAGCGAGCCTAGAGGACAGCGTCCCGCCACCCGAGAGACGGTCGGGCGGCGTCGCGCTCCCGATGCCGAGGCCGCCCGGGCTCGCCGGAGTCCGGCCGACGGGATGAGGGAAGGGCCTTGAGAGTTGAGGGCCGTGCGGCTAAACGTGTTGGCTTCGGCCGCCGGGCGTTTGGCAGGGCGTCGCATGGTCCCGGCCGCCGGTTCAAGCACGACCCCCGAACCCTAGTGACAACCCTGGGCCGCCGCAGCCCCGCCTCGGCGCGCGTGGGGGCCGCCCGCGTGCCCCGCTAGTCCTGCCTCCCGGAGAGCCCGGCGCGTGCAGCATCCCCACCCCCTGGCCTCCCTCCCTCCCACGGCTCTCACGCACTCGCACTGATTGTTTTGCCCGCTCCCGCCGCCGTCGCCGCCGCCACAGGACCAGCGGCGCTTGTGCAAACCGGGAAGATGGCGGCCGGCGGCGGCGGAGGCAGCAGTAAGGCCTCCTCCTCGTCGGCCTCGTCCGCCGGGGCCCTGGAGTCCTCGTTGGATCGAAAATTCCAGTCGGTGACCAACACCATGGAATCCATTCAGGGCCTGTCGTCCTGGTGTATAGAGAACAAGAAGCACCACAGCACGATCGTCTACCATTGGATGAAGTGGCTGCGGAGATGTGAGTGTGGGGGCACCGGGAAGGGGGATGCTGGCGAAATGGAGGCTGTGCGGCCCCCGATCCTCGGGGTTTTGCCCGCGGAGCCGCTGCATTCAGTTGGGGTTCCCATTACAGCTCGGGCGCGGGTGCCCCCGAGCCCAGACTCCATTCCTAGGCAGGGTTGCCCTGGTCTGCAGGGGGCTCATTGCTTGGAATTTTTCCGCGGCTCCTTTGGCGTGACCTTGGGCCGTTGGGCCTAGACCCACGGGCGTCCGCGGGTTTCCCTCCCGAGCCTCGGAAGGTGTCCTGTTGATTTTTCTGAGCCTTCACGGAAATCGTAGCGTCCGTTCGTTCCTTCAAGGCCTTGGCGAGTTGGCGATTTCTGGGTTTCCTGGTCGTGGAGCTCTGAGCTGTCCCCTTCCCCGGGACCTGCGGGGCCGTTCAGGGTTTGCTGTCGCCGCGACCCTGGGGCTGTGCCGATCGGGGAAGGGGTCTTCTGGCCGGCGGTGCTGGGAGGAGGTGGCCTTGTGAAGCGGGCTGAGCGCCGACGGGGCTGGGAGGCGGCCACCTGTTTTCCCTTCACCTGTGTGTGTGCTGCAGAAAAGTCAGGCTCGCTGGGAAGCTGTAGTTGGCATCACCGTTGCTACCGAAACAGACACTGTCTCCGGCCACTTCCAGCCACCTGAAGTACATTTTAGAGAACCGAGTTGGTTTGCATAGGCAATCAAAATGGGGCGTGTAGGCTTCTCAGTATTTTTTTATTTTAGCATATACGTTCCCCCCAGTTATAGTTTCTTCTCCCCTTCAACCTGTGGGGCTCTCCCCGCATCGCCGCTTTAGTGTAGAAAAGCGGTCTTCTAAAACTATAGATTGTTAAACTGGGCGTGGTGGCTCACGCCATCTGGAGGCTGAGGCAGGAGGATTGCCACAAGTTTGAAGTTTGGGCTATATAGTAGATTCCAAGCAACCCTAATCCCAGTTCCATACATATTAATTAGAGTTTTAGTTTGCTCTCCCCCTTCTAGCCTCTTGCCCGTGCCACCCATTTAACAGTTTGCTTATTGCACCGCTGTCTTTGCTTCTGGAATAGTTTTGAGTTTACTTGTCTGTGAACAAAATTGAAGGCCCCAAACTTGAAAGCTTTTGTATTTAAAGTTATTGATGGGACAGTTCTTTGAAATACAGTGCTGAGAAGGATACTCAAGAAAAAGACAGATTAGGTAATCTCTTTGACTATTATCAGATCTCTTCATTTATTTCTTGCCAAACTAGAATCTGCAATATTAAATAATGCTATTACCTTCAAAGATTCACATGTTAAGTATCTGCTGCATGCCAGCCATATCCTTAAACCTTTTAATGTACTTTATAATCTAAATTATAACTAAGGAAATTAGGGCTCAGAAATGTGATTTTGCTGAAGGTTACTCAGTAGAATGTATTTAGGATTCGAGTCTGTCATTAACTCTGGAGCAGTGTTGGATGTTTTGGGTCCATCAGTGTAGTAGACAGTGCTGATGTGACGAGATCATCTTCCACCCTGTCTTCAGTTAGGAACAGCCTTCATTTCCTACTGTTGCTCCCTGGTCCTTACACTCTATGCTTATGTCATTTTCAAGAATAAGTTGGTTCCTATCTCTGCTTTGTGGGATCACAAGTGACAATGCTGTTTTTTTCTTAGTCAGCAATGAGACCAGAATTTTTCCTGCTCCTGCTGCTGTTTTGTGTCTGAGCTTATTTCCTTTGTTGGTATGTTGGTACTAAGAGTAGGAGAGCAATATTTCATTTCAAAAGTACATTCTACACAATGTAAATAAAGTTAAATGCATTCTTTTTTTTTTTTTTTTTTAAAAACCTGCTGGAGTGGAATTTAACTTTCTAACATAGCTGAGAATAATTTGTGGACATTCGCATTTACACCTGATGGATTTCTGGCTTACGGAATCTGGGTGCTGAAAAGTAAGACACAAATAGTTTTAGGCCTGCATTATCACTTATTTTTGTGTAGATCTTGACAGAGTTTGGTTGCTAAGTTTGCTTAGACAAAATTGTGAGGTAGGTATCTGGGCATTCCCAATCCCTCCCTGTCCATTTTCCTGATGTCACTTTTGCTTCACCCTTTTCTTTTGACATCAGTTCTTAGTCATTTAGACCTCAGTTAACTTTAAGTGACTGTGCTATAGACGTTCAGGAGATGTCTTCTTTCTTTCATTTTATGAGGCATCTAACCCAGGGCCTCCTGAATTCTGTGCAAACAGTCGCTACCACTAGACTACACACACCTCAAGTCCTCAGAGATGTTTTCACTGTTTCCTCAATCTTAAGATGTGTAGTAATAACAGGCTTTTTTATGCATTGTAATGAAAACAATTAATGAGCAAGCATGCTTTCTGGAGATGGATTCGATAGGCAGGTTTCATTGATTTCATCTAGGTATGTCTGTAACATTTGTTATCTTCTGTCTGAGTTACGCTGGCTGGTTTGATACTGAGTGTGTTGCCCACATTGGTCTCAGCCTCCCTGTTGCTGGTTTATAGTTCACCACCGTGCTTGTTTTCTGACGTGATCTTTCTACGTTATGAACAGATAGTAGGCCTCTACTTTTTTTTTTTCTTTTTTAATGACACGGTCTCTCTCTGTGTAGTCCTGACTGTGCTTGAACTTGCTATGTAGACCAGGCTAGCCTCAATCTAAACAAGATCAGCCTGTTTCTGCCTCTGGAGTGTTGAATTAAAGGAGTGGGCTACCACGCCCAGCTCATGCCTTTTCTTTTTAACCTTCCAGTGATATTGTTGCAGTAGAGTTAAGTTTTTTGTACTGTGGCCCCTCCAAGAGCCTGTGTCACCTGTCGAGCCTTCTTCAGCTCCTGCCACCTTCTCTTGTGGATCTCACTTCAAGTATTACCCTCCTCAGGAAAGCCTTTTCTCATTACCTTCAATTCCTATTGTATCTTTCCTTTCCTTTCCTTTTTTCCCCCTTTCTTTTTTCGTTCAGTTTTTTCAAGGTGGGAACTCATTATCTATCTCTGGCTGGCCTGGAACTCACTATGTAGACCAGGGTAGGCCTCAAACTCACAGAGAAGCCTGGGCTTGCTTGCCATGTCTACCAGGCTGATTTCCAATTCATTGTGATCTGCCTGCCTCTGTTTCCTGAGTGCTAGTATTTAAGGCATTCAGCACCACACCTGGCAGGCTTATCATCTTATTTTCAGCATGCTAAATTACTGTATTTACTTGTTATATCTTTATTACCTATTTTTCTCATTTGTCAGGGTTATGTCTTGTTTGTCCCTATATCCCCAAGCACTTGATATAGATCAGTAAATATTTGCCAAAATAGTATTGCAAAATGAGTAAAAAAAATACTTACTCCTAGCCTGGTTGCACATGCCTGCAGTCCAGTCACTTGGAATTCTGAAACAGGAGAATTACAAGTTTGAGGCCAACCTGAGCTATACAGTCTTAAAACCCCACCCCCAAAAAACTTGAACAATTTTTTAAAATTCCTGATTATGAAAGTGTTTATAATTTAGTGAAACATTAGGGATGGCTTACTTGCTAGGTCAGGATGTATTATATTTTTTTTTCTCCCATTTTAAGTATAAAACAAGAGTCAGTATAGAAAGATAGAAAAACTTTAGAATTAGAGCTGTGTTCAGATCTTAGCTCCATTGATTCATCCTGGGGGTGTACCGTGCAAAGTACTTAAACCATGGCCTTTATCTTTTTTTTTTTTTTTTTTGGTTTTTCGAGACAGGGTTTCTCTATGGTTTCGGAGCCTGTCCTGGAACTAGCTCTTGTAGACCAGGCTGGTCTCGAACTCCCAGAGATCCGTCTGCCTCCCGAGTGCTGGGATTAAAGGCGTGCGCCACCACCGCCTGGCTCATGGCCTTTATTTTAAGAGATAAAGAGATACAGGGAGTATTGTACTCACAGAATTTATGGGCTAAGTTTAAGGAGATAATGCATCTATCTTAGTATAGAATTAACCTACAGAAACATGAATTATTTTCTGCTGAGATCCTTAGCTTTGCTTGGAGTACTGAGGTGGGGTTACCCCTCTGGAAGAGACTTGGATCAACCTCTTAGTGAATTAGAAGGTGGTCTGAACAAAAGGGACAAAAGTAAAACCCTGTTTCCTGAGACCTCTGTTTTATCTTTTAAAAAAATGATTTATTGCTGGAAGCAAGGACCTGATTTTATTTATGCAATCTTAAGTTCACAAGTAAAATATTCACCTTTGCAGGGCAAGTTCTGCACCTAGGAAATTAGCCTAGTGAGACCTGCAGGCCCCAGGCTTTAGAAGCCTTGAACATTTCCTTTATTAGTGAACAATCACAGACCCTCAGTATTTCCTTATCAACTAGGGACGTCTCCAGACCTGAATTCCAGCAGACCTGACACCCTCCCCAATAATAAAGTGGCACCTGGATCAGAAAGCCTGTTTTGCTGTCATTTCTTGAGTCTCTTGTCCCCTCTATTCCTTTTTCTCTTCTAGGTTTATCAGGGACCCCTATTCGTATCCCGCTGGCCGAGATAATTTTTTATTTTTATTCTACATATGTGCCTGCCTTGGGGGGTATATGAGTTGGATTCCCTGGACCTGGAGTTGTGAATGTCGATGTGCATGCTGGGAACTGAACTCAGGTCCTGTATAAGAGCAGTATGCACTCTTAGCCACTCAGACTCAGTCTTTTTTTTTTTTTTTTTTTTTGAGACAGGGTTTCTCTGATAGCTTTGCTGTCCCGGAACTAACTCTTGTAGACCACGCTGGCCTCACTCACAGAGATCTGCCTGCATCTCCCTCCCTAGTGCTGGGATTAAAGGCATGTACCACCACTGCCCATCTCTTATTAATAATAATATTATTATTATTTTATTTTTTGGTTTTTCTAGACAGATTTTCTCTGTAGCTTTTGAGCCTGTCCTGGAACTCGCTCTTGTAGACCAGGCTGGCCTCGAGCTCACAGAGATCCGCCTGCCTCTGCCTCCCGAGTGCTGGGACTGCCCAGCTCCATCCCT